CCCCCCCCCCCCCCCCCCGACTTCTGCTGCTGTTGAACGTTTCGTACCATGGTAACGTAGAGTTAGAAACGTCCACAAACTCGAGAGAGGGGATCTTCGGGCAGGCTCTGGCTGCTGTTTTTGGGAAGAGGGGGTAATATGATTGGCGTGTGGGCGAAAGCTTGAGGACCTGTTTGTTTTTCCGATTCCCGACGTTCCTGTAAACACTCACCGCTTGCTTGGTGCAACTACAATAGTAACGTTTTTTAAGGTTGACAAGAAGACCAATGGTGTGTCCTTGGCGCTCCCTCCCGTAGTAGAGAGTGGCAATCTGTCACAGCAGCATCATCCACAAGAATTGTCGCGGCGTGCCCTCCGTCTTCTTGTTGCTGGTAGGTTGTCGAGCACCTTGCGTTTTTTGTTTCTTTGTGATTCGTACCATATATTTCATCCTTCTCTCTCTCTCTCTCTCTCTCTCTCCTCTGCCCCCCCCCCCCCCTCTCTCGGCTTGCCCTACCTCTCCAGGTTGTGGATCACCAGCGGCTGTCGGCGGCGGGGTACTGCTACTCAGCAGCGGCGCCCCCCTTCACCTCGGCGGCCGCGTCTGCCGCCTTGGGCATGCTCAGGGCCGAGCCCAACTTGGTGGCGGCGCTCAGGACTAACGCCGAGTTCTTGCACGGGGCCGTGGGGGCTATTCCCGGCCTCAAGGTGGGCGGGGAGATGCTGCTAGGGGATGTAGCTGTGTTGTTGGTGTGTTGTTGGTGTGTTGTTGTTCGTGGTGGTGGTGGTGGTGGTGTTGTTTTTGTTCGTTGGTATTGTTGGTGTTGGTGATGTTGTCGTAGTTTTTTGTTGTGGTTGTTGGTGTTGGCATCGGTGCTGTTGCTGTTGTCATGCGTGTTGTTGTTGCTGCTGTAGTTGTGGCGGGCAATGAAGCGTGAGGTGTCTCTACCATTCTCCTTCGTGCTTGGGATTGGTGTTGTTGTCGTCGTCGTCGTCGCTGCTGCTGCTGCTGGGTTGTTGTCTGACTGTTTTGAGGGGGGCTGTTGTCGTATTTTGTTGACGTAGCCAATGATTGTTGTTGACCCCGCACATGACGACACCGCCATACAGGAGTTGTTGCTGCACAGCACAGTCGTGGTTGCTGTTGCTGACGATAATCCCGACGTTCCTGCTGTGTGATATTCGACTGTGGCTGGGACGTTTGAGTTATTGACGGTGCCCCTACGCTGATTGTTGTCACATCCCCCCCTTTGTCTCGTTGTCTCCTCCTTTGATGTTTCTTGTTTTTTTTTTGCTTTACGCACATCGCCGCCGCTCTCCCTGTCTGATCCCACCCGGTCCTCAGGTGACGAGCTGCGCGCTGTCTCCGATCGTCCACGTCGCGCTCGCGGGGGAGCAGGAGGCTGCTGCCGTCCGCTTGGTGCTGCAGGGCATCGCCAAAAGGTGAGTGGCATCGCATCACCCTGCCCCGCAGACACTACAGTTCGCGTCGCAGCTTGATTTGTTTTGTCTGTTATATCTATTAGTATAAGTTTTCCTGTGGTTCTGGAGACTGGTACAACTTTGCGCAACTAATAGTTGTGTTTGTTAGTTTTCCTGTATTGGAGAATTTCGTTTGTATGGAATTTAAAAAAGACAGTTTTCCTTTGATTCTAGAGACGAGAATACGTGTTACTCTTCGGGCCGCTCCCTTGTAGTTGTTACCCTTGCTGAAGGGACTGTCGATTTGGAGCTGTGCTGTGTGTTGGGGTATCTGCGTCGGTGCTCCTGTGGGTGTTGAGGGTCCACGTGGGCGTTCGCCGTCGTTTTTTTGTTTTTTTGAACCTCGTGTTCCTGAGATGACGAGACTCGTTTCTCTAAGCCTTTGGCGACCAATCACGTGACGGAAGATCCGGCGCTGATCGTAGGGTCATTCGCGGTTTTTTGTCATGTAACAAACAACAAGGACAACGACGACAGCAGAAGCAACAACGAGAACATCATCAACGTCACTAACGACGACGACAGCAACAACAACAACAACAACAACAACAGCAACAACAACAACACCCCACCATCAGCAGCAGCAGCAACAGCTACAACATACGTACTCGCGTGAGCTCTTTTTTGATGGGTGGCCTACTGGTGTCAGCCCGTCCGGCTCCTCATGTTTTGTCTCGGATTTTTTTTTTATTATTTGTTCGTGCGTGCGTGCGTGCGTGCGTGTTCCTCAGGTGCGCGGAAGGCGGAGTAGCCCTAACGACGAGCACATACATCCCGTCAGAGAAGTTTCCCCCGCCACCAACAATCCGCATCACCACCAACGCCCTGCACACCCGAGAACAGCTGGAGCAAGCCGTGCGGGTGCTGGCGGAGGCAACTGCGGCGGCATTGGTGCCGGTTGAGGGTTTGTAGTGAGGGGGGGGCGGGGGGGGCGGGATTGAGGGCATTTGCTAGTTTTGATGTGAGACGCGCGGAGGATAGGCTTATTTACTGTTTGGGGGGGGTCGTGCGTAGTGATATTTTTCGTTTCGGCGAGAATGTTGTCCGACGTTGGGTGCTGTGCAGACGGAGGTCACGCTTCTCGCGCTTGCACCGAAACGCTGTGTCCATTTTTGTTTTCTAGTGGGGTTTGTGGGTGTAGGTGTGCAAGGTCTGGGAATAGCGGCACTTTTTTGGGTGTGTACCGTATCAACGTGTACAGTCGCGCCAGGCACAGCAGTAGTAACTTAAAAATCGTGGTCACCCGCGGTTAGCCTAGAAATGTTGTTTTTGTTTTGCGATTCTTGGGCGTGCACTGCTGCGTGGTCACGGACTCGTTGTGTCTGGGTGTATCTACCTGTGGCAAGCTTTTATCATGTGTCGATGTTTGACTTGGCGCGCGGGAGTATTAGTCGCAGGGAGTGTGATTGAATGTCGTCTTGTTCAAAGGAGGGTGGGTCTATGGATGAATCAAATCAAAGTTGCCATGTTGTTGCCCGGACTTTTGGGGTGCTCGGCACATTCCGGTGTTCCCCACCCCACCAAGTCTAGGGTGTTCCGCCGCACAAAAAACTCTGCACATTCTAGGTGCCGTAGAACTGACGGCCATGACAGCGAGAGAGACAAAGAGAGAGAGAGGTAGGGTGAACGTAAAGAGCTTGTCGTCTATGATAGCAAACGGGACAGAGACAGAGAGAGAGAGAGAGAGAGAGAGAGAGAGAGAGAGGTCGGACAAACGTAAAGAGCCTGTCCGCCAGCAAGAGAGACACACAGAGAGAGGTGGAACGGACGTACATCCCGTCGGTTACCAAGAGAGAGAGAGAGAGAGAGGGAGAGGTCCTATGAACGAAAAACGAATAACCTTGGAAGCGCTGAAATAGTCTGTAGTTCGGCGGGATTTTTTTTCTTCCCGTCGAAACCAGTTCGTTTGTGTCCAACACCTACAGTACCTGTGTATCCAGTAACGACAAGTGCGGTGCGAAGTTCATATTTTTTTTGTCTCTACAAGTATTGTTCCGTGTTATGTACCCGAGCCAGCTCGTGCTATCCGAGCCTGCGCCAAGAAGCCGCTCGTGTGGTCGAGGGCCACAGCAAAAACGGTCCCAGTCGCCAGCAGCCTTCCCAGCGTTTTTCGGAATAAACATGAAATCGGGGAAGTTGGATTAGGGTTGGGGATAGGGTCTGTGTACCCCCTCCCTGTTCTATTTCCTCACAAAGTTCATTTATCGCGAAAGCGGTTCAATAAATGCAACCAATCCGCGATCAGATACCTACCTAGACTGGTCAAGGGTGATCCGGGAAAAACGGAGCGAGAAGCAGCAACAGCAATTGAGCAAAAGGTAAGGGGACACGGGATCGTCAGGGGAGAGGGACCCGGGATCCAATTACACCGAAGCAAGAGGGAAAAGCAGGAAGAACCACGCCGTCATGATAACCAAACAGAGTGTATGTAGTTGTAAAGGCAATCGACATTGCAAAGCCTTCAACGCATCCCTCTGAGAGTATTCAGGTCGCTCGCTCGCGTGTGTTTACTTCATTTTTTCGAGATGCAGCACGGTACGAATTAATGCCCACGAGAACACTATAAGAGATATTGGAGGCCACCTTGCTGATCTGCTGACGTCACAAAGGCTTCGAAACTCGAAATACCTGTTTCTGTTTCGCCTTGTCTGGTTTGAAAAAAAAATGAACTTGTTTTGGCCGGCTGAGGGGGGGGGGGAGGGGGGGGGGTAGTATGGGTCCAGGAATTTTTTCTTGTGTCCCCTTGGCGGGGGCGGTCCTGTTTGCACTTAACTTTCGCAACACCGCGCCGTGAAAAAACCCAAACCTGCCACGATGAAATTAGTTTCTACAGCAGCTCGCCTGCGTGAGGTGAAAATGGTGGCGGCAACGAAACCGCGGTCGGTCGCCGCTCTCGTGTCCCAGATACATGCCACGTCAAACGAAAGATCACGGTTTGTTTGCGATCTACGCGGGGCAGCCAAGAGAAAAACTGAAATCATCAAGGGCTTGCGAGAGCAACATCATGCGTGCGTTAAGGAAGCACGCGACACCGTGCGGAGCGTGCAAATGTTGGCGGGGTGAAAACAGTGAATCATCGCCACTATAAACTGAGAAACAAATAGTAGTAGACCAAAGAGGTGATAAAAACCTCTCGAGACTTTCACCACGGACAGGCAGGGTGTGACAAAAGACGCCTGCTCTCCCGACAACCGTATCACTAACGAAATGACACGCAATCGATCATCATCGGCGTCACTACCGCCACCTCACCAGCACGGCAACGCGAAGAAAGAGGAACGCCAAAAAAAGAAGCATCATCCGCAGCGGGGCAGGCAGCGAGCTTACACACCAGAATACAGAAACACGGAGAAAAGATAGCTATTGCAGTACCATGTGCTACCCGACCGGGGAGGGAGGAGGCTCTTCGGCAAACATTGCATACGGCCACCCCAAGCACTGAACGCCAACCGCCCACCACCACCGTACATCATCACAATCTTTCTTTTTCTTGGAAAACAATGGGCACATGTACTTTTTGCATATTTACATATTTTTTTTCGTACCCTCTCTCTTTTTCCCACAACCCCCCTCTTTGCCCAATCAACCCATGGCATATCTGGTTTGGCGCAGGATAGCTAATGATGGCCAGCTTCTGCTTCATCCTTTGCGAAACTTAACTTGTAGCCTGGGCCGGCAAAACCCCGGCATATCGCTCCTCCATCCCGGCGTTGTAGGGATGCGAGGCCAGCGGTCTAACGACTTCGGCACGCGTGAGCGTAAGTACAAACCCCGTCTTTCAGACCGCCGCCTCGAACAACCCTGCAAATACCGGCGAGGTTCTGTCTACCAAGGGCCAACGTCGCATCCATTTTCCGTGTCTGTCTCTCCGATGCTTGTGGTCTCGGGTAGCATATAAGGTCGACACCATGGGGCGTTGGTTTGATGTTTTGATGCGCTGACAACCCGATCGTCCAGTCTATCTACGATACCTATTTTCGTCCCCCGTTGGCCTTAAAAGTCTCAGCAGCATCGAAATCTCCCGCAGGCTCGCCACACAACAAACAACACGAAAAAACAATCAATCATCATCTGCTGTGCACACAGCGCACGGCCCGGGTTCTTCGGTACGTCATGATGCACACAAAAAAAAAGAAAAAAAAACGGTACAACGCTGACCACGTGTGTGCATCGAAAAGGAAGCTAACGGAACAAGAAAGATTGCCTGAAGACACGAAAACGCGCCCGAGGAAAGCAACGATCAACCGTTCTAAACTAGCGCTCCCCCCCCCCCCCAAAAAAAAAAAAGAAATACATACGCACACAGCCGTAACAGCACACAAGAAATTTTGTTTATCTGGGTTCGTGGTGTACAACGATGAGGAAAAACAGCCTACATGCCACACAACGCGGGCGAAAAGCTGCTAAAATGAAAACCATAGCAGTTGTCTTTTGGACGCCGCCTTTTCAGGATCCCTTCCTTGCCCGAAAGGGCAGGGTAGTGTCTGTGTTGCGTACCTACATACATGCGCGGAGCTAGGCCGACGCATAAAGACACGATCATGGTCGCGGCGGCCTGCGGGCTGGGCTGCATTTACATCGTCGTCCGCCGGGATACCGTTGTACCCCCCCCGCCCA